CAGAAAGGAAAGCGCCAGATTGAATGAAGTTCTCAGAGGACAAGTGAAGTATGGAGGAGGGAATGCAAGACACAGGGCCTCGATAAGCCCTACTGGGCCCTGTTTGCAACAGTGTCGGCCACCCAGAGTGAAGGCAGGCCCAACCTAGGACAAGAGGCCTATTTTCTTTGGCTACCACGCAACTGGGGAAATTCAAGCAGTTGTGCAGCGCCAGTTGGTTGAGAGCGCCCAGGCCCTCGCTGCCTTTGTTGTATGTAACTGAGGCAGGCCCTCGGCCAGATACGCAACCAGGACCAAACACAGGCTGCGGGTAGTTGAACACGGGTAACCGCCATAGGCCCTGGGCCTGACTCATTTGGATTGGGGCTCAGCCACCTGGGGCCTACCGGAAGCTTTTGGGCAGGGGCCCAGTGCAGCTAGGCCGCACGCAGCAAGCAGGCCCCTTCCATTTAGGAAAGTGTCTGCACTGGCATTCGGTATTCAGGCACTCGCTGCATGCTGCGCAAGCGATGCTGCGCTAATCGGCGTAATCGCTGGCCAGCGCCCACACACTCACGGGCGAGCAGGAAGAGCAGGCAGCCATAGCCGAGCTGCCCTGCGCTATGCTGGATGGGGCGCATGGTGGTCCTTGGGTGCACGTGGCATCTGTGTGTGGGGGATTGAGGTTGTGAGTGATGTGAGAGACATACCCGGTGCTTGAGGCGAACGGCATTGGCCGAGATCTGCTCGTACTTCGGGGAGCTGTTGACGTCATCAGCGGCATTGTAGATAGGCTAGATAGGATCTGCCATTTGTAGTCTGGGCGCTGGGCGCCAGATAGGAAATCGACACTGGCTCTTTGTTGATGATGATGAGGCTATTCCAACATTGTCACTTGCGAGCTTTTGCTGTGCTCTTATTTGGTGGAACTCGAGTTGCAATTCTGCTTTTGCTTCGACGTCACAACTATCTGGTTTCATGTGTATGATGCTGTTTGGTTTCAGGAATTCGCTATCGCTCATTTTCCTTGCAATTCAATAAAGTGGGGAAGAAAAGGAAACCACAGTTTAGCCGAAAGAGAAAATCGAGTCAACTAACGCCATGTACACTAATTGCGCGCTGATATTCACTTTGTCCAACACAGGCAACCACCTCCCAGCGATCGAAAAACGCAAATGGCTCACAAGGACAATCCACGGACACGAAAACCTCAAGTCCAACACAAACAAATTCTCAATTCTGGTACTGAGCAAGAATATGATGATGGTGGCCTTCAAGGACCCCAATCAGGCTTCCTTATTTTTTTCCTTCTTTTTTTTTGCACTGGCCACACCGCACCGCATACTTGCGTCGCAGGTATGCTATTTTCCTGTTTTTTACTTTAGCCAATATGAGTCTGCTAGGCACTAGTTTATGTCGATCATATAAAGCACCTATGGAGCTTTAGTCAGTACAATGCATAGCTACGCCGGACCGAATCCGGACCCCGGACCCCGGACTTCCCCGCGACATCCGGACTCCCGGAAAACCGGAATATTCCGGAATATCCGGACCGGTCCGGAACCCCTGTGCTTTCCCCGAAAAAAAAAAAAAAAAAAAAAAAAAAAAAACA